CCAGAACTGGAGATTAAACTCAGGCCCTTGCACTTGCCAGGCAAGTGCTTATTCTACTGAGCCATCTCCCCGGCCCATTCAAACGCAGGGTCTGGAACTGGCCAGGCAAGCAAGCACTCCACATTCTTTAGAGCTACAGCCCTGGCCCTTATCTGCAAAGGCTATCCAGTGGTTGGGCTAACAGGCCTCAGAAAGCCAACACTTAAGTTTAAATCATATACACTGGGCTGGTGAGATGGCTCAGTGGTCTAAAGCGCCTACTTAGAACAAACTAAACTAAGCAAAGCACAGGGACCGCGGTTCAATCCCCCAGCACCACATGCCAGCCAGCCCTGCCCCCCTGGTGGGCTGAGCTGGCCACACACACACAAAATAAATAAAGAAATAAATAAACAAACAAATAAAATAAATGTTTAAAAAATAAATAAATAAATCATATACACTGTTGAATATGGTGTCACACACCTATAATCTCAGCACACTGGGAGACTGAGGCAGGAGGATTGGAAGTTGCAGTCCAACCTGGGCAACTTTCTGACTAGTGAGACCCTGTCTCAAAATAATCAGCCAAACTGCTTTAACAATTGTGGTTCCACCATATCTCAGCGCAGGCTTCCCATAGCTTTCTCTAAAGCCACAGTTCCTGCCTTATAGAAATGCATATTAATCAGAAAGGCGGCGTGGGGTGGGAGCAGTGGCCCACGCACTGCCCTCAGTCTCCTAGCACACGGGAGACTGAGGTAGTAAGAGCACTGCAAGGTCAAGACCAGCCTGTAATGCTAGCGCTTGCGAGGCTGAAACAGGAGGGTCACAGTCTGAGCTGCGCAGTGAGACCCTGTACGAAATACATTAAAAAGGGTGGGGGGTGTTGTAATCCAAAAATGAGACAACTGGGAGACAAGTCCAAAAACAAAAGAGCGCTTTCTTTTAGCTGGTAGCCAGCAGCAACACCCGGCACAAAGTGCCTAAGTGCGCACCCAGGAGGGAGAGACAAGGGTTTTTAAGGCTGAATACCGCAAAGGGGAGGTCTTGTGACTTGAGCGCAGCACGGGGGTCAGCGTCCACTTTCGGGAAAACAGGTTACATTTTTTTTTTTTTAACATGCGGTTAATTTTCAGGAACAAATAATTACAATTTATGTTCAGTGTTGATCACGGGACATATTGTGTGGAGTGCTCTGGAGTAAGAAATAGTTCAGATCTTAACCTTTAACACTCTGGTTTAGAACAAAGGAATAGTTTGAACATTAACAAACTGTGTTCAGAGGTCTGATGGATGGCTTGAGCCACCAAGATGGAGTTTAAGTTGTCAGCTTATACCAAACAATCCTCATTAATAAAGTTACAGTAGAAATGTACAGAGGTGTATAATACAATGGCTATTCTGGTTACAAAATGGAGTCAATCACATAGGTTATAACAGAAACATACAGAATTGTATAACAAAATAGCTGTTCTAGGAGCCGGGGAGATTGATCAGTGAAATAAGCGCTTCCCTGGCAAGCACAAGGGCCTGAGTTCAATCCCCAGTTCCACCAAAAAAAAAAAAAAAAAAAAAGACCACCCTGGGCTACAAAGTGAGCTCAAGGCCAACCTAAACTGCACAGCAAGACCCTGTCTCAAAAGGACAAAAGAAAAGAAAAAAAAAAAAAGGCCTTTGGTTACTTGATCACTGTTAGTGTTTGTGTTGTTTGAAACATCAGGGTCTCACTATGTAGTTCAGAATGGCCTTGAACTCGCTGTGTTGCCCACCCTTGCCTCAAACTCGCTGGGATCCTCATGATTACTTTTTTAATTTTAATTTTAATTTTTTTATTTATTTAATTTTTTTATTTTTTTTGCAGAGCCAGGGATTGAACTCAGGCCCTTGTGCTTGCCAGGCAAGCACTTATTCAACTGAGCTATCTCCCCAGCCCCCTCTTGATTATTTTTTAAAAAACATTTTAACCATATGTCTTTTTTCTCTCAGTGCTGAAACAAAATCCCCGCCACCCAAATTAAAGAAGTTTGTTCAGCTCACAGTTCATAGGAGGTTTCAGTCCCTATCAGCTGGCTCTAAGGCAGGGTGGCACAAGGCATAGGGGCAGCTGCTCACAGAGGCAATAGATACCAAAAGCAACAAGAGCAAAAGGGAGGAGCCAGCCTCTTTTCCTCCTTGACATTTTCCACAAGCTACCTGCTCTGGGGCAGATGTAGCACTCACACCTCCAATCCCAGCACAAGATAATGAACCAACGAAGCAAGGCGCCCCACATACTACGTGAGGCCTTGGGGACACCCACACACAAAATGTAACATTCTGTCCTTGACCCCTTAAAGACTCATGAACATCCTTTATGCAAAAGACATTTAGTCCATTTCCAAGAGTTTTCAAAGTTCTAACAGTTTCAGCGTTGCTAAAAAGTGCAAGTCTCAAGTCTCTGATTTTAAAGACCAACTCTTAGCTGTGAGCCGGTATACAAATGAGAAGTTAAACACTTTCAACATTGAGTAGCGTGAGGTAAACAAACATTTCCATTCCAAAAGTTACAGAGAGATGCAAAGGAATGGGACCAAAGCAAGTTCAGAATCCACCAGGACAAACACTAAGTCCTATAGTTGTATGTGCAGCATGTGATGCAATCGTGGCCAGTTGTGAGCCGTTGGGTGGCTGCCCCTGTGTTGCTCTTCATGATTGGAGCTCCCTGGTTTCTTTCTAAGCCCACTCTGCTCCCTCCTTGCAGCCCTCCTTAGATGATCCATGTTCCTGGATTTTCCACACGTCAGGGGGATTTGCTGCACCTCTGACTTCACACTCACAGATTCGCACACTGCCCTCTGAGGGCCTCAATGCCTGGCCTTCCAGGTCTTCTGAAATTGGGGTAAAATGAGCCTTAACCCCACAACTCCTGTATTCTGCATAAATGGAAAACCAGTGCCACAAGGTTAATACCAACATCTGTCTCCAGGTGGATCAGGAGCCAGGCTGCCTTCTCTCTTGGCTGCAGGTGACAAGTACCTGGGTCGCTGAGCACTCTGAACCTGAGGAACAAATTCTGGAACATGGTGCTCTTGGGCTTTCTTCTCTCTCTCTCTCT